TATATGTGATATATCTATCTGAATATCTCTCGCATCGATACAGCACAAATATTTTACATCTGTCCTCGAGAATTTCAACATATTCTTCGCGACGTTGTTTGGAGTTGAAATGATCCTGAAGCTGCTGGCACACGGCGTGTGTGACTACCTGCAAGATGGCTTCAACGCATTTGATGGCTTCATCGTCATTGTCAGGTTTCTCTTTTTATTATTTTTTAATTTTACTTTGAAGTTTTGCACAAACGTATTTTCAAATTTTGTTCAGCCTAATGTGTCAAAATATGGGTAACTTATTAATCTCTAATTTTGAAAATTTGAAAAACTTTTTCTGAAATATTATTTTATTAGCCTATTAAAAACGTTTAAAGAAGTTTTGCATGCAGACAAGGACACAGTTTGTTTGTTAATCCCTCTTTAAGATCGCTTAAAAAAAACATTTGCCATCGTCCGTTGTTTCCGTTCTTTTTAACGAGTTAATTTTATAAGCCATTTCATTGCTTTTATGGCTACTATGTCTTATTGTAGGTGCTATAAAAACTTTCTATTCTAGTTTGTTAGGGCACATTTTTCTAAACAATTGTCTTTTTATTTAAGAATTGACAATTGTTTTAAAAAGCGTGCTAGCTGATTGGCTAGCTGATTAGCTGGCTGATCGGCGGGCTAAATATCGGATGGATGAAATATTTTGTTGGTTGAATGCTTAAAATATTAATTTCATTGTTAATTTTATTCAAAGTTACAAAAAATTATTTTGATTTATCGCTTCTAAATAATTTATTGCCAAATATATATATATATATATAATTTTTTGCTGTATTATAACTAGAATTTATAATACAGTACGAAATGTAGTTGTTATTAAATGTTTATGATTTATTGCTACGTCTCATCATACATAAATCAGTGTGATGGAATTATTTTATCGGACCGAAACTGCGGGCTTGTCAGTTTTGAGGACGTTCAGACTGCTTCGAATACTTAAACTGGTGCGCTTCCTGCCGGCTCTCCGATACCAACTTCTGATTATGTTGAAAACCATGGACAACGTCGCTACTTTCTTTGCTCTACTCTGCCTTTTCATTTTCATTTTCAGGTTTTAAAGATTATTTTGTTACATTTCATCAAAATTAAATTGCTAAATTATTTTTTTATTAATTGGCATTTGATCGTTCAGCATATTAGGTATGAATATTTTTGGATGTAAGTTGTGCTCAGAAAAATCAATACGAATATCGAAACATAGCTGTGGAAGAAAAAATTTTGACAGTCTTCTCTGGGCAGTTGTTACTGTTTTTCAGGTTTTCTTAGTTTTTGCATTAAAATATCTATTAAGGTACTTTTGAAAATTTTTCAAAAAATGCGATTGGTAACTGTCGCATCCAATTAGATTCTAACGCAAGAGGACTGGAACGAAGTGCTGTACACAGGGATGTCGATGACGTCAGCCTGGGCCTCCCTCTACTTCATCGCCCTCATGACGTTTGGCAACTACGTCCTCTTCAATCTCCTGGTGGCCATTTTGGTCGAAGGCTTCTCGGCGGAGGTTATTAAATGTTGTCAAGAGTTGTTCAAAATTGAATATTTTCACATCACTTACTTCCGTTAACCAAAGTAATTATTAAATTTAAAATTTTTGTTGTTGACGAAATTGCAAACGTTTTTAAAAATAAAGTTGATCAGAAGAAATACTTTTAATTACGAGGCTATCTTGGAGGTTGTTCAGAAATTTTTATAATTTCTCCAGGGAGAAGAAAGAATGAAAGAAGATTCGATGATCAAAGCTGCCTTGAAAGATATGAAGAAAAAATCGAAAAAAAAGAGAGAAATTGAAATAGAGAATGCTTTCAATTTGAACGTGGATGATGCAAGCGGCAACAGTGCCAGTGGTAGTGGCGTCCTCAAAGTGGATAACTATCTGCAGGATGACCCGTCAATTGAACTCTCTTCTGGTGTAAAAAGTAGAGGTCCGAATTTATTATTTTACTAATAAAGGTGTTATAAAAAAACTTTCCAAGACTAAACGAATGGACTTGATTACCAAACAGGCTGGGTGCCGATAAACGTGCGACGTCTGCGAACCGCTCCAGCTAATAATTCCAACCAACTTTTCAAACCTCTGGTCGTTGGCACCATCAAACATCTGCCAATTATCACCAGAACTACGCCTACTCCTCTTGCAAGTCCCAAATCTTCGCCAATGCGCAGCTTAGAAACAGAAAATCAAGTTTGTTTTGTTTTAAATGTCGTTAAATGTTCAACTCAAACAAGCAAATGTTTTATTTAAATTGAACAAACGCATCCCATACTGAGTTAATGTTTTATATGTTAAACAAATTTTTATTTATTATAATGGATCCTCAAGGACTTGTTGACTGTTGGTGGTTTTTCTCAGAAAGTTTGCCTAAAAGCTCCTTACGTCGGATCGCCAGCTGAAGTTTCGACAGCATCAATAACATCAACAACCTTAATAACGTCCGCAGCACCGACAACATCAATAATGACATCAACAATATCAACTATGATTCTTCCTGCAATATCTCAATTGTCAATGTTGAGAACATCGACATTATCGCCAATTAAAGTCAACAAAACATTGGTGCCATCAACAACGCCGAAGATAGCACACAAATTGACCAAGTTGACGACATCTTCCCTTCAAATGACAATGTTAACAAAGCCTACAGCGCTGGTAGCATCGTCAACAACAACACCCTTAAAAAGTTTTGTAGCTGACGAAGCGACTCTTATGGCTACTATAAATTCATCGACCACATCTACAACCGCATTACCAACCACATTATCAAAATTGACCGCATCGGATTCGTTAATTGATAGTGTTGGAGCAATCTCGTCAGTGCAAGCCGGTGACCAACAGCAGCAGCCCAACACTAAAATTGCAGCAAATGACTCGTGCATAACCACAAAAACTTATCCCAAACCCATTTTACTGCCACCCAGAAAATCCTGCGCCGTTAACTCCAGCTGGTTTCCTGGTGTCAGACATTACGACGAAGATTTTCTAACCTCTGTCGAGGGTGGCAAGTTGATGCACAAGACTCTTCAAATTACTAACAACATTCTCTGTGATTCTAAAAACAAATTTTTGAAGAAAGAAAGTATTTCATTTGCAGCAGCAAAAAAGTAATTTTATAAAATTGAAAAATCGTTTTTAATATATTAAAGGTTTTTATTTTTATTTCAGAGATGTTACTTTATCGGGAACAATAATTGGAGCTCGAGTGCACTTTACGCCACAAAATCTTCAAACGAAGTTACAAAACAACCAACAACTGCAACAAATTCTACTGCAACAAATACAAATTATTGCACCACGAAAGAATGAAATCAAACAGCGAGATCAAAACTTGGAACAGACATCTTCTTTGAAATCGCTGCAACATAATGGCATTGAAAATCTATCGCAGATCAAAACTCATTTGCAGGATTATCAGAATGCACCCCAACCACCAAATAACAACACACAACAGCTTCAACAACAATATCAACAAATCAAACTGCTTCTTCCACAGCAAAAACAGCAACAACCACATCAACAATTTTCTAAAATATGTCAACAATCACAACAGCAGCAATTCAAACAACAATCTTTTAATGAGTCACAACTGTCACAACACTCGCAACAACAACAATCAGAACAACAGTCTCAACAACAACAACAACAAATAAATCAACAAACACTGCAACAATCCAAACAACAAATGCAGCAGCAAGCACAAACACAACGACATCATCCACAATATTCAAATATTCGACGTAGCTCTCAGATATACAACAACGAGAAACTCTACCAACAACTGCCTACAGACGCCGACGACATTTGCCTAGCCTCGCAACAACACCGCGTGCGGAAACCACAGGCCAATCAATTTTACGCCCATGAGAATCGAAGACACACGTATGCTTTCGACGAGCACAGGCCGTTGATGACACATCACGGACTTAACCAAATCAACGGTTCATTTGATTTTGCTTTTTTTTAAATAATTTAGTATCAACAACTGTTTTCAACTTGATTTAATCGATGAATGTAGATTAATTTTTGATGATAAAAACACACCATGACATCAAAGTTATTTTCAATTTTCAAGATTTTGACAGAATGCATTCACCCAAGAGAGCTTCCTCGCTGCGAGACGAGTACTTACATTGGGACCAACTGTCCTCTCGTAAGAACAGCTGGTCTGCCATTGAAGATTGGTACAGCGGCTCCATTTCCAATGCTAGCAACAATCTCTGGAGCTTTGATCTGGTCTCTTGTCTTTGGCATTCTGTCAACATATTTTGTTTTCGCAACGTATAACATTTTGAAATAATAAGTCAAATAATGTATGACATGAATAAATTTGTTGACATTCATTTTATTTATAATTCGTAAGTATTTTAAAATTTGATGGTTGACATGTGAAGCCATAAAACATTGCTCTTGCTGGCACAACACATATTATTTTTATTATTTGTTATTAATAATCAGTGAGTTCAACTTAAAAACCATTTAAGGCATTCAACATAAAGGCATTAAATCAAATTGTTTAAATTAACGGTAATAAAAATATAGTGAATCAAATGTTCAATCAACAAAAACTGTTGACAGGACTGCATCAAACGGATGCTGCCAACGCCGCGTGGCTGCTTCGTCACGAGATCTGAGTACGCTTTCTATCTCTTACCGCCATCTAACAAGTGATTTCTATTTATTACATTGGCCACTTCACAGCTTTAACCAACGTTAAACGTGGAGAATGTGTGACTATGCTAAAATTTGATTGAAGTATTTATATTTCAATAATTTTAATGACCACACATTTCAATAACCCAAAAATATATGGACAAAAAGTTGAAAAAAAGTTGGAAGCTATTGAGCAGTTTCATAAATTATCAGTATTTGAAAATAATTTAATATGACTTATTTAACGAACGACTTAATGTTCAACTATAAGGTTCCGACAGTTTTGCTTGTGGTTCATATCCCAACAATGGTTTGATTACTGCATCCTGTTATGCATTGCATTCAACTGCATCACACTGGCCATGGAGAGACCGGACATTCCACCAGACTCCATAGTATTTTTATGATTTATTTTTTCAGATTTTGTCAAACAGATTAACCAAAATGAAAACTTACTAATTCATCTTATTTATTTTTCATCCATTCAGGAACGACTTTTCTTGACTACCTCAAATTATGTTTTCACAGTAATTTTTGCGTTTGAAATGCTTGTAAAGGTGAATTTTGTGATTATTTTAATAAATTTTTGTAAACAAAAAATTTTTTACGAAGCATGAACTTTTTAAAGTGAACGAGAAATAATAATATAAAAATTATACATAATATGAATTACATTTACGTGAAGTTGTTCAATAAAAATTCAGGTAAGTGCGAAGGGAATGCTCTTCCATGAGCACGCATATCTGAAAAGTGGTTGGAATATAATGGATGGCTCACTGGTTTTTATATCGCTGGTTGATATCGTCGTTTCCCTAATAGCTTCAACTTCTACACGAATATTTGGCATTCTGAGAGTTTTCCGACTACTGCGAGCGCTGAAACCACTAAGGTACATCATTTTACCACAAAATCAAAAGTATTATATAATATTTAACTTATTTAATAGTATTTAATAATGTTTGATAACATTTTTGTTTAAAAACGTTTGTTAGCGTTATAAAAGATGAAATTATTAGTTATATTAAATTGATTTCACGTTCGTTTTTAAGAGTGATAAGTCGTGCCCCAGGATTGAAGCTTGTGGTCTCAACACTCCTCTCTTCTTTGAGACCAATTGGAAATATCGTCTTAATCTGCTGCACGTTTTTTATCATATTTGGCATATTGGGTGTTCAAGTTAGTAGTATTTTGAAATTTGTCACTTCTTCTATTCTTAATGTGTAAATAAATAATTTGTTTCTTAATGTGTAATAAAACAATTCGTGTATGGGCTGCCAGTTTATGAATTAATATTTCTTCGCTAATGTTTCAAATCACTACTCAGTACTCAGATATTTTGCAGAATGTTTTTTTATTGGGTTTAATGGACAACGTTTACATTTTGCCATTTTGCTACCTAAACTCATTGTTACATGTAGGTAGTATAGAATTCGTTAATCAGAAATATGCTTCCTGGTTTGCTTCGTTTACGATGAATAATAAGTTTTTTCATTTATAAAAATGACCCAAACATGAAGTTTTATTGAATCTTAAAACATTTTTCAGTTCAAAATAAAGTAGCGTTTTTAAGAGTATAAGTTGAAAATTGAACGATTTGTATACAATTCAATCGACTGACCAGCTGTTTAAAGGTACATTTTACTACTGCGATGGTCCGAATGTGAGTTCAGTGAAGAACAAAACCGACTGTACGAACATGGGTCCTCCCTACAGGTGGATCAACAGGAAATATAACTTTGATAATCTTGGACAGGTTCGCCATGTCATGTTCTGTCAGTTAATTAAATTATTTGTATTAAACTGTTGTTTGAGAAAAATTGTAACAAATTAAAATAAATTAAAAATTTTTTTTGAGTAAATTTAATTAATTAAAAAAAATTCGTTGCTTTGAAAGTTGACTAACAACTTTTAATATGAACTCTGAAGGCACTCATGTCGTTGTTCGTGCTGGCTTCGAGGGACGGGTGGGTGAACATCATGTACACGGGGCTCGATGCCGTCGGGGTCGATCAGCAGGTTCACTCTAATTACCGTCTGCTCGTTTTTTTCTGTCAAATGTTCATTGTTAATTAGCACGAAAGTTGAATATTTTTATTGAAGGTTTCAGCGATGTTTTAAACTTGATGTCCAATTCGGATGTTTAACTACTTTTGCTAATATTACGTTGAATGCGATTGTTGTTCTGAAAAGTTGCACCAAACATCTTCGCGTAAATCTTCCATTACTTGTACAGCCTCAAGTCAATTACAACGAATGGCGCCTCTTGTACTTCATCTCGTTCCTTCTGCTGGTCGGATTTTTTGTGTTGAACATGTTTGTTGGAGTTGTGGTTGAAAATTTCCACAAGTGCCGAGAAACTCAAGAAAAGGAAGAAAAGTCAAGGAGGGCTGATTTGTACACGCTGAAAATGATTAAAAAACGAAAACGTGAGACAAAAATATTATTTGATTCAAGCGTTAAAGCATTATTATGAAAGTTTCAATTAAAAATGTTAAAGGACTGAAAGAGCCAGCTTACTGGTGTAGATATTCAAAGTCTCGCATGATGCTGCACGCTTTCATCAACAGCAAGTACTTCGACCTGGTCAGTGCCGGTGTCATCGGCCTCAACGTTATCATGATGGCGCTAGAATACTACCTCATGCCCGATGTAAGCATCTTCTCTCAATTTGTGTTTAATGGCTATTTGCCATCGAAATTTGTCATTATTTGAAAAATTTTAAAAACTTGTTTTTGATAAGAAAAATTAATTTAATTCAAACATTTTTACATAAATTATCAAACGAAAATTTGTTTGGGCTCTCCCAACACCCCCCAGCCCTAATTGACCATGCCGCCCGGGACACAACCTTCTAATGTTGTTTCTGATACATGAGATCGGAGAACAATTTAAACTACAGATGTTAAAACTTTATTTTCGTTCATTTAAACAGGAATTGACATTAATTCTGAAATGCTTCAACTACTTCTTCACATCTGTATTCATGATAGAAGCGCTGGCCAAACTGATCAGTCTCGGAGGTGTCAGATACTTGAAGGATAGGTTGCTATTATTATTTGCGATATTGTTGGTTAAGGTCATTCAATAATTTTTTATCTATATTCTTGGGTTTGTATTTAATTGTTTGTGGGTTTGAGTTAAAGATGTTTTACTTTTTTAATAAAATATAATTCAAAAACATTTTTAGATGGAACCAACTGGATGTTGTCATCGTCATTTTGTCAGTTGCCGGAATTATTTTGGATGAGGTCGAGTTCGAATTTTTCAAATTCAATCCAACAATAATGAGAGTAATCAGAGTCCTAAGAATTGCGAGAGGTGAATGTTTTAAATTTATTTCTTCATATCCATTCTCAAATAATTCATTTGCTAAAATATTCCTCAAGTTCTGAAATTGTTAAAAATGGCAAAAGCCGTTCGAGCATTATTGGACACCGTCATGCAAGCTTTACCAGAAGTTGGAAATCTTGGGCTCCTTTTCTTTCTTCTTTTTTTCATCTTTGCCGCTCTTGGAGTAGAACTCTTCGGAAGAGTTGGTTAGTGGAGAATAGTGAAAGATATTTTTTTTAAATTTAATTAAAAACTTTAACTAAGTGATGAAAATTGTCTAAACAGAATGTTCGGTAGCGCACCCATGCGAAGGTCTTAACAAGCACGCTCATTTTAGAAACTTCGGAATGGCTTTTTTGACATTGTTCAGAGTAGCTACTGGAGATAATTGGAATGGAATCATGAAAGTGAGAATTCTCTGCCGAATGAAACTTTCAAATAAATTTAAAAAACAATATAAATTTTAAAACCTTGATTTAAAATACTTATTTTAAATATATAATATAGATAAAATAAAATAAAAATATCGTAGGACGCGTTGAAAGATGATTGTGACGGCGGCTACGATTGCGTGCAGAACTGCTGCGTGTCCAACGTCATCGCGCCAATGTTCTTCGTCATATTCGTCCTTATGGCTCAATTTGTGCTGGTCAACGTGGTGGTTGCTGTCCTCATGAAGCATTTGGAGGTTGTCGTTGAAATTCTGGAGAGTTTTCCTAATTTTTAGCATCACATTCTGAAAAACAATCTTGCCACTCTTGTTGTAGTTGAACAGAATAAATGCTTCTCGTAATTCTGAAATTTTTTCATTAGATAGTTTCACTATTATTTAAATGTTGAACTTCCTCGTAGCAGCAGACGGAACGAACTTAGCTTGACTCAGGTGACCAGCCCAAATCAAAATTTTGTCGTCAACATTGCAAGTACATCAACCAGTCAATAAATCAGCTCTCGCCAATAAAAGCTTTTCATATTGGTCACCATCAATATGGAACAATTTGCCACTCATCCTCCGTAAAATCATCGATAGAAATGTTTGAGAAGCGATCGAAGCAGCATCTGTTCGAACAGGCCTTTGAGTGCCTCTGAAGCTATGCATAGGGCGCTGCGAAAATGACAAATGACAATATTATTATTTTAAAATTATAAATAATGTGTTGAACATTTGAATTGATGTGAATCTGCAACAAATTAATGTAGGAATCGCATAAGCACTTGGACGACGATGATGTTGATGAGGACGACGAAGATGATGCCGATGATGATGAGGAGGAGGATGACGATGACAACCAGCGACAAAATATTTCAAGTAGATCCCAACTGAAAAAAGTACTTTGAAAGTTGTTTGTTCTTCTATTAATATATTAACACGATTGGATCTTCACTTTTTAAAACAACGCTCAAAAAGTCAATTAAAATCGATCAGTTTGTTTTAACCTAAAAAATTAATTGTTTGTGATATTTACTGGAATGTGCAGATGAGCTATACTCCGGTTTTGGAGCGCCTTGAAGAAAGTCAACCGCCTTCACAACGATCAGTCGAGATGGAAGATAAGAACGTGAGCAACATCAACAACGTCGTCGTCGTTGCAGACATTGAAAGACATCCTCGTGAATATGAACAACCGAATGAACATCAACAACAACATGAGCCACAGCCACATAAACCACAACAACAACACGAACAACAATATGAACAGCAATCACGTGAACAAAAATCATATGAACAACAACAACACAAACAACAATATGAACAACAATCGCCTGAACAACAACAACATGAACAACAATCGCCTGAGCAACAATCGCGTGAACAACAATCACATGAACAACAACAACATGAACAACAATATGAACAACAACCACATGAACAACAGCATAAGCAACAACAATTAAATTCGCAACAGCAACGTGAACAACAATATGAACAAGAACAACAATTACACAAACAACAACATAAACAACAGCTGGAACAACAACATGAACATGAACAACAACATGAACCACAACACGATCAACAACAACAAAATTGTCAACAACAGTATAAACAACATGAACAAACCCGACAACAACAACAACAACAACAGCATGATGACCAACAACAACATGAACAACAACATCAAGATCAATAACAACATGCCAAACAACCCCTACAAAAATCATGAAATATTTGAATTTTTCAATATTTTTTTGTACGTGTGTTGGTGTGATAAATCTTAAAACCTCATATGAATTCATGTATTTGTATGTTTGCCTAATTCTATTTTTTGAACTAACGTGAAATGTTTTTAAAAGAATGAAAACCACCGGCATAATGACATATCATGTGTAATAAAATTAAACATATCGTCCGATTAATGTCATTCAATAAATTTATTAATTTGTGAACGTGTGCACCAAACTAGAGAGTTTGTATTCATAATTTTCATTAAAAATTCTAAGTGGTTTTCTTCAAATAATCTGTTTGTTCGATAAACTTTTTAAATGAATCATTTATGAATAAAGAATTATAGTTCAAATTGGTATGTTAATTTGCCATGAAAAACGCAATTTACGGTGTTTTTAATATTTTATAAATGATGCTTATATTGTAATTAATGCATTTTGTGTGTCATACATGCATAAGTTAGTAGCTGATAATGTTGCATAGGCCGTTGACATGTTGTCTATAGACATGTTTGTTTGTTGTGTTGTGATGCTCTGCTTGTAGGACAATTATTGCTGTTCATTCTATTCATTTTTATTACAATTCATGCTCCGCCAGTTTATAACGTTATTTGATATTTCATATTAATATAAAATTAATTTTTAGCGGGGAGACATAAAAGGCAAATGTATGTAGATCGAAATAAAATTGTGTGAGACAACATTTTTTCCTCATGGTTCATGCTCATCAAACTAGGCAGCTCGACATTTCTGGTCTGTTAACAGATTAATGTGGTTTATTAGCAAATTCTTCGTTTAAGCTGGTTTTGTTAATAGTAACTCTATTAAGATAATTGGTTCTTAATCTTTCAACGTTTTAGCACTTCCTGTCAGTAAAATAATCTATCTTGATACGTAAAAACAGTGCCCAAAAGCATGCACACATGATACAACGAAGCAGATACAAACCAAAGCACATACGCCATGTGATCGCTTCTGTGGATGGCGTTCACTTTTTATCGGTTTTAAACGGTATAAATAGTCATCATTTGCCCCCTGTCAAAGTTGTTCCTATTGTTCAGGTTCCTAATAATTTCTTTTTTGTTTTGACGGATAAATTACCTCCAACCAATTTTATCACTTATCTAGATTTCATTTAACAGTGCAAACATTCCTGGTGCAATAGTTATTCTTCTGTCAATTTCTTTGAATCAATCGTTGTCGTGGGTTTTAAGACTGCTTGGGTAAAAAAATTACATATGAATGTGTATGTATTACGTAATACGTTTATTGAATTTCTATATATAGTTTAGATTTATATGTATGTGTATGTATATGTATATATATATATATATATATATATATATATGTATGTGTGTCTATATGTGCGTGTGTGTAGATTTATTTATTAATACGAATTACGAGATGTTTATTAAGCGATATATATATATATATATATATATATATATATATATATATGTATATATATATAATCATTTGTTCATAAGTTCATTTGTTCATCATTTAAAGTCATATATTTATATTTAGGTATGATTACTTTAATTTGAAGTTAACTTTTATATTTTCACTCGTTTTTTACATTCCTTTTTTTCATTATTTATTAATTACATTTTTATCAATTTGTAAATCTGTTGTTTTATTGAACAAAATATCTATATATGTGTATGTGTAAATAAATTTAGTTATTTTTTACAGTAATTTATTTATGAATTGTATGCACTTAATATTGTACAGTTTTTATCGCTTTCTTTATGCGTATGATTACCGATTTGTGGATCAGTTACTAACGCAGCGAAATCCGTCACAAAAAACCTACGCCTGTCAGCGGTGATGGTTCTTGCGATGGTAACGTTACCTAATTTGTTTCTGGTAACTTAATTGGCCGTTTGTTTCATTTAGAAGCTTCGATGTTAAAAATTATGTAAAGTATTTCAACTTTCCTTAGATTTTTGTTTTATGCAACTTGCTCTTGAAACTTTCTAATACAAATTTATTTTATTGTTCTAACTTTTGAAAGTACATATTGTCGTGATGTTGAAAATAGTCTCCTTTCTCAATATAATTACGGAAAGTAATAAAGAACGGGACTCAGATTGAGACCACAATAACGAAGGCAGATTTACATGTCAATCAATTACAAACTTGAATCACTTGAAACCAGTTTAGGTGTGAAAAATATAACGTCATGTAAAATAATTCATGACCAGTCATAAATTAAAAATTTTGTTCGTGGCGCCGTTGGATGGCATATACGGTGTAAGTTATAATATTATATATATATATATATATATATATATATATATATATATATATATATATATATATATACGCACTCCAGTTTAATTTTTATTTGCATGCCACACAATTAAACTAGCAAAGTATAGTCTACACTACATTCTCATGTTTCCGGTTCATGTGCATGGTTGTTTGTGATCGTGTTTTTGGATAATGGAAGAATGTTTTTGAAAGTTTTATGAATAATATTATGTTATGCATTTCACGATTATGCAATTTTTATTTTCTAGATTAAGTTCCAAACGTTATTCCAAATTTTACACATTTGTTTTCGTTGAAAGTTTTTTTTTACTTTTACACATTTGTGTAGGGCGGTGCTGGTTGTTCTGCTCGAATCTCGACCATCAATTTATCATTTAGTACTGTTTTGTTATGACTTCAATTCAATAGTCTTTTTTTGTTGAATAGATTACATTGGTGACCATGAATGTACTCTTCTTTCATTTATGAAATCAAAACACTAAACCTAGTTAATTATTCAGCAATATCAAATTTTCGTTTAACGGTCAACAATTTAGTGAAAGAATTTTGACAAAATCGGAGAAGGCTTGCTTGCATGCTCTGGAATTGGTTTCCACGTGCGTTGTTATTCTGTTGATGATTCGTAATTATTGTTGTTTCTCGTGCTTCAAACAAGTACACTACATTATGTTTGAAGTGAAGTTCTAGAAATCTGATAGTAAAATTTGATTTTTCAATGTTTAAACTGATATCACTGGCATTATTTAACGGTGTTAATTTTCAAATACATATTTTTTATTTGTGCTTAATGAATCAGATTTTTGGATTTATTGAGATTATGTGTTTAGGATTATTAATTCGGTAGTCACATTTCAAAGTTAAAATTCAGAACAATAAATTTTATCACAAAACAAACTACAAAATATTTTTTAAATGAAATTATCTTTTTACATTGTCGATTCATTTCAATCTATAATGAATTCAAACTCAATTGCAATTGGTCAGACGTGTTTCAAACAGAAACTTGATTGGCTAAATAAGTAGACATTACAACCAATAACGATTGAAAAGTAAAGTTTTTAATGAAAATACGTAACAGCAATGCAATAATTTTGTGCTTTTGACCATAAAGATGTTCATCAATAACAATGAATGTCATTAACATTGAAATTATGTCATTAACAAATGGATTTATAGTTTAAATAAACAATTTTAATATTGAAATTAAAATGAATTAAATAAATAATTTATATATTTTTTTAAAGAAATTTATGTAAATTCAACCTAATCTTTCAAATATGGGAATGTTGTGGTCGTGCTTACCAGCTCAAAAGTACATTGACATGCTGCTTGTCCTTAATTCACGCAATTAACTATCTAAATAAAATATATACATTTATAATTTGATGTTGATATAATATTAAATTATATTTAAAATAGAAAAAATAATTACTGAATAATAAGTGGCATATATATGGGTATATGTATGTGTGTGTTTGTGTATACATATATATTATATGTATATATGTGTGTATGTCTATATAATATTTATATAAGCAGTAAGTAAATAATGGTAATGTAAATTATACACGGAGCAGCGTGTTAATATGGCAGGGGCTACCGTGACTAAGTGGTTGATTTTCAATGTAACAGGAATTAAGCCTCCGTATATAACTTATACCAGTTTAAATATGTATGCGTGTGTATGCGCGTGCGTGTGTTTGTATACATACACACACACACACACACACACACACACACACACACACACATATATATATATATATATATATATATATATATATATATATATATATACATATTGTGTATATATACAAACATATATACAAACACACTCCCACATCCTAGTTTTGTATGTATACATGTTTCCTCTTATTCAAGTCATGGTTAGGATAAAAAACAAAGTAATTTTGAAGTCAATAAAGACGATTCAGAGATTTCAAAACGCGTTCCAAATTTAAAATTAACTACTTTAAATTAACCGGAAACAATATTATTTAAATGAACTGAATAGGAAATTATACCATGATTATATCTAATTTTAAAATTTGTCTGAAACAACTAAATCGAAATTCAAATTTTTTTTCAAATTTGTTAACAAATCGATGACATAAAATCATATATCTATCTGCCGAAACATGTTGCGTGTATCTACTTTGGTATACATTTCAAATGGGTATCAAGAATTTGATATACACCGCTTTCGTTTCTGTGCGTTTGTGAGTGTGGGACAGGCAGGCAGGCAGACAAGTGGATCACGTTTCATCGTTTGACACCTTGCGGAAAAGTTGCAACTGCAATCAAATCAAACAACTATTTTGCATTCTTCCTCACTAACTCTTGTATAATGTCGTCTCCACTCATTGACATTCTACACAACTGTAAAGAGAAAAACATTTATGTAACAGTTATATAAGAATTATCATATTTTACTGTTGCTGGGTGCTGTATCAATTTAAAATCTATATTTACATGGGATTTTCCAGTTTAATTTTAACTCTAACAAAAATGTCCACTTGTGATATGAGAGGGTGATAGACCCAGAGCTCTCCCTTGTTCCTTGCTTACTCCACAGCTTCTACAATATTTTTATACCTATATATAATTTGAACAGAATCATATTCATTATCATCATATTCTTAGTCATTATCATATTTATCATCGATATCAAATTTATCGTCATTATCACAAACATCATTGCGTGCATCCTTATTGATACGCCATAATGATTAGTCTCAAACAACTCATATTAATTAATATTCATTAGTTCAGTTGTTCGGATGACCCTGCGACTAATCTACCTACATATGTAATGCTAATGTTGTATATGTGTTTGTTTGCGTGTGTGTGTCTATGTGTGGATTCGTGTGTGTGTGTCTATGTGTGGATTTGTGTGTGTGTTTTGTTAAGATATGTATGTTCTTGTATATTATTCTTATTTGTGTAATTTCAACGTGGTGGTTTTGTGAAAAAAAAAACTTTTCACAACTTAATTGGCGAATGCATTTATTAATTTGAGTAATAATGAAACACACAGTAACTGTTTAAATTTTATGAATTGGTCGCATATAAATTAAATTTAGCAACTACATACTTTCGTTAATTTCCGTCAATTTTCACAATCGATTTCTATAAATAAAATTAATTATACAGTATTTTAAAATCATAAAAATTAAAGCTGTTCTCAATTTTTAGCATGAAAACAAAGTATAAAAATAATTAATTCATTTAAATAGGAATATGCCCCATTGATCTGAAATGAAACTCCGTCTATTCAATCATTTCTGCAGAACTCTTCATAATCGAGTAAGTACCTACTGGCAACAAACCTACTGATAGATTAAACTTAACTTAATTATTGTTGTAATTCAACATCATATTTTCATTCAATCTATACTTCTCTTTTAGATAAGTGTGAAGATATATACATATACATATCTACACACACACACACACACAAACACACACACACACATATATATATATATATATATATATATATATATATATATATATATATATATATATATATATACATATATATATATATATATATAAACATACATACATGCTTTAATTTATATAACGTGGTAACTTAGTAATAGGTAATTATAAGAAGCGCAAAGAATATCCTCTACATGAAGTTAATGTTTGTGGTCGAACAGCTGAACAGACGAATTTATTTTCTTAACCTGACCATCTGCCCAGTAAGCAGTATTGATTTAAATATAAACAACATTGATTGAGATTGTGAGACTGATTGATTGTTAGGACTTGATTCTCAATTAAATGTTCGTGAAATATTAAACATGGATTACTTCTTTCCTTGTGCCTTTGAAGACTCGATGACCGACGACAACCAGCAAACATCCATCTCCAGTCACGAACCAAGGTTCCATTTAACTCCTCTGCAGTATTATAACAAGTAAAATTTTAATTCAATTTCCTTAAATATTTAAATCTTCTATCGTCAGACGCAACCTAGCATTTCAAATAGTCCTTAAACAAACTTCCTAACTAATTCTAATTCTAGTACTTAATAATTTTATAAATAAATTAATGGGATAAAAGTTATTTAATAGGGACCTAAATGGAAATATTGAAAATTTTTTAAATAAATAGATATATTAATAATATCTCATATGATTTAATTGTTACGACGATGGTGAAACTCTGTTACATGTAGGATCTTGAACTCATAAGCATGCAAAAACAGCTATCAGAAGTCTAATAGTGGCAAAACAAACAGAATCTTATGCGTCTATCAACGCGTTTAAACTTTTACGAATGGAAAACATGGCTGACAGTGGATTCAAACCAGGCCTTTGGCATTCGGGTCACAGTCACAATGTGCGAATCATTGTCATTTTGATAGCAACATTTTGTTTCTGTTGAAAATTTATTAGAAGTGTGTATGAAATGAAACCTTCAATGCATTGAACTTGTGTGCGGTGCTTTTTAAAAGTCTTGACTAATCATCTAAAAATACCCAAGATGTTATGCTCCATGATCCATTGGTTTTAAAACATTAATCAAACAAAATATTTTTTTTCAAATTGAAATAAATTGTAAAATGACGTTAATTGTTATTGAGTTGAATGTTCGTTTGAATGCAGTTACCCGCATTACAGTACCGCCATCCAGCATACCTTGTGGGACGAACCAGCCCCTCACCAATACACCATCAATACAAATTCAAATTACAATGCGTTTCTGCCTGGCCGATCTAACTTAGGTGCATCATTAGCCAACCAAGGTATAAAATGAAATAACATTTTTTCAACTTTTTGTGCAACGTTTTACGATACCATAGTTTCTATCATTTTTAATTTGGATGAAACTTATTAATTTCATAGTTGTTTTAACAACCTTGTTTAACTAACTTGATAGTTTTTATTTAGTCTGTTTTCATCATTATTGTGTTTGGACCTTGATGACTTTGCTGTTGAAATTTTTCTTTTTACTTGACACTGCACGGAGTTGATTGTTACTAAATGTTTCAAATTTTCTTCAATCTTTCATGCGTTTTATTCTGTGCTGTGACACGGTGGCCTATACAAATTCTGTTCTTATTTGATCTCCGAACAGAAGATATTGAAATTGTTCGTTTGAAATAAATAAATAATCTAGTTAAAGAGATGGAAATTAAATTTAATTTTTTGGACATTTTTATCTTCCAGACTGTCCCGAACAGCGCAGAAAGTCGTCAGCCAACAATGTGAACATCAAAAGTTCGCCGAATTCGTACCAATCGTCTCCATCTTCTTGTTCGTCATCTTCCTCTTCCGTCTCATCGACGTCATCAACCTGCCAATCATCATCCACGCGTAAAAGTGAATCGAGAATACGACGACCGATGAACGCCTTTATGGTGTGGGCTAAAGCTGAAAGGAAACGTTTGGCGGAGGAGTACCCAGATGTGCACAACGCTGACCTCAGCAAAATGTTAGGTCAGTGAAGTGGTGCTTGTGTGTGTGTGTGTGTGTGTGTGTGTGTGTGTGCGTGTGGTTTGTGTGTGTGTGTGTTCCAAACTGTTTGAAACCGTTTATAAATGATGAAAAGATTAATATCAATAATAAATTTGTGACTGACAAGCACGATGTTTGTTTATTTAGTGTTCAACTTGAGTGATATTGATTTTCATTGAAACTTATCACACTTGAATTTTGATCATATTGAGTACGTCTTAAAATTTTATAATGGCGATAACTGTTATCATTTCAACTTAACACTTGTTATTTTGGTTCAAAACTTGATTTTAAATCCAAAATTTTATATTTGTACTCATGGAGTAACGTACTTATAAGGGTATTATTATTGTAAATGATGCTCGAAAAGTGTATTTTCAAATTCGCCGTAGAGTTTGATAACACTCAATGGAATAATTAAATGAACACCGGTAACGATCAAATCGCAAAGATTACACTTAAAAACATTCGTTCTTACTTTCAACAATTGACAACATTGATAAAAATGACGTGCGAGTTGTCATGAAATGTCAATCTATTTTTACATTAAAAACCCTTCGCTAACTTTCAACATTAAATATCAAACCAAATAGTCTATAAAAACTTGTAGTGTGATAAAATAACAGTGTGTTATGTACTTAATTAATTGAGATATAGCTTGGCAAACAAGCTTATCGAATAAAAATAATCTCAAGAGTAGAATGATATCGAAAAATATGAGTAGGTCACATGTTTATAAAAAATATCTTTAAAATAATTCAAATTTTCATTTTTAATCAAAATAAATTGATTAAAAGAGAATAAAACCAGTAGAAAATCACGATTTTATATGGAAACACCACGCACGATTTGATGTAGACGTGATGAATAATTTGTTTTCCAACGCAATTATTCCACATGGGAGGAGGAACAAATGCTAATGAATGTCAACTTATCGACAGACGATCATAGTTACATTTTATGTGCTCTGCCAATTATTTATCTGTTTTTGTCATTATTTAGAAGTTAGTTGAATTTTAACAATCGAATAAAATTTTATTATCATTTGGTAACGTAATTTTTTTCTTTTTCTTTGTTTGTTCATTCGTTTATTTTTTCCAGTGTGTTTTAAAATTTATATTTAGGAAAAAGATTGAAAAGTAAAAATGTATGAAAGTGAAATTTCAGTTATTCAAAACACAATGCAAAACACCTGTTGAGAGCAGCCATTTTATGAAAAATTAAAAAATATAACATCAAAGTTGCCGTTTTATTGCTACAAACTAAACAACACTACACGCTCATTTGAGATTTTCATTAGAGGATAACATCTTCTTTTCAGGTTCAATCGCTTTCAACCGAACAAACTTTAAAAACATTGGCATGTTCACCCAAAAATACAAACAAACTTGTTTTATTACATTTCGCTATGTTTCTGAGAGCAGAAAATTTTTTCCGAGTAACTTTGTTGTATTTGCAAACTAAATAACTAAAAAACTATCGACATGAGAAATAATAAAAAAAACGTACACATAATGATTGACTGTTCTTCGTAATTTGAAAATTAAAATCGTTAATAAAACAAAAGCAAAAATTTAATTGCAAGAAAGATTTATTTTTTGGTAGTTAAACATCATATCAGCTGCACCAGGTATCTTCACATGAGCCATTAGTAAATGCCATACCGAAACATGCCTGTAACAATTTGGCCAACAAGGACATGTTCATGTTCAAGTTCATGTTTAGCGGCTGTTTATTTTTAATAAATAAAACTTATTTTAAAATTTTGACGTAAAAATATTATTTTTCAAAATAATACTCAACTTTTTTTATTTAATTACTTTCAAAATTTAAAAATTTACTCTGGGGTTCGACAAAAAGATTTAATAGATGTTGGTCAGGGCTGTAAATTGTTACCATCTCTCTAAAATTGCGCTTCCTGGTGTCTAACTGGTTAAAATTTATTTTATTTCAACAACCTTAGTCCTATCTAAAATTATTTTGTTCAAAATAATTTTAAGTTAATTTTTGTCGATCAGTGGTTTGTCTTTATCCATATCCTCGCAGAATCTCGATAACAAAATGACAGGGTTTTGGTTTTTTCAGATCTGTTTAGTTCTATTTAAACAAAGTTTATTATTTTTTTTAAACATACTATGTGCCAAATTTTAAACTTGCGCTTTAATCCTTTCTGTCACAAATAGTTATCAAAATAAACAACAGTGTGCTAAATATTAGTTTTTGAGTCAACTACAAATTGTTATTTTTGGCTATTTTAGTCTCACGTTCATTTTCATTAATGAGTTTGTAGCGTGGCTTCACAAGCGAATTTGTTTGATTCAGCTTTTGAAAATAATGAAACTGAATTTAAAATAAATATAGTATTTGATACCTTTTCCATCGTTTTTCGCAAGCATCATAATCCTCGTGATGTTCAACTGAGGTTCAACATGCTAGTCTAAATAATTTGTTAAGAACGTTTCTTCTACGTGCTCTGCTCATCTCTCTACGCACACTATAACGTTCGTCCTATATTGTTAAATTTAATCTCATTAGCTTTTGTTACTTTTAAAAATTGCAAAATTTCTACAATAAAAAAAATTTTGTTTTATTTACAGGAAACAATTGGAAAAAACTTTCCCTGTCAGCCAAGCGTCCTTATGTTGAAGAAGCAGAACGTTTGAGAGTCAAATTAATGACGGATCATCCTGATTACAAATACAGGCCTCGCAGACGAAAGCATCCACGTCGCGTAACTAAAAAACTTCAACCTCAACAACTGCTGCAGTCCCCTTCTCCTTATCACTCACCTTCCTCCCGTTCTTCAAGATCTTTTGAGATTTGTCTATCTAGTTGCAGATCCAGCAGTGACAACAACGATTACGAAAGTGACGTTTCAAGCTGTTTTCCAGAGTTCCCTGAAATGAACGAATCGGGCATCGACTTTCGTGACATAACTGATGAACATTTGCTGAATGAAAATTATGTCACCTCGTCATCAATACAATCAAGTAAAAAAGAGAAAACTGCTGATTGCTTTAGAAATCCTTCAAGTAGGGGCGGGGTTTCAAATAATTATCAACCAATGTTTGCTTCTAATAACTACAATTACAAGTTAAATCACAACCACACTCAACTGTTGGGCGGCATCAACGAAAACAATCTTCAACCTTCACAATACAATCTCCACAGTGGATACATCTACGGTGCTTCTAACAATAAGTCTATAAGCTACAACCATCCAATTTTTAGGAACGATTACGGTGCTGAAATGAACCCAACCAATATAAATATGCCTAATGAACCAAGCATGTTCTGCAATTCCGTTCCTAGGAACTTTTTTTCAAAAACACAACAATTGATGAGCTTCAATGATATGACGTACTCATCTAATTCGGTACCCGATAAAAATCTGTCTTTCACACAAAAATTTTCGTCATACTCTTATAGCAACACGCTTCCGATTTATCAATATGACAAATATTCTGAAATAAACAACGAAGAGACAAATTTAAGTAAAAATTTCACAAATAAAATAATTGTAGATTCACGTAACCCAAACGCAACACAAAATCAACTAAAGTGCGAATGCTCTATTGATGAACTCTTAAAAATAGGAGGCTCTGAATGCAATCTCAGTTGTTCTCACGCGACCTCGTCATCATCTTTTAAAAATCGAGTTTATTTGGATTTGTATGACAGGTCAAATGTTTATATTCAGTTAGATTCAAAAAACTCTAATGATGATATTCATGTAAATTTTACGTTAGATGGTGACTTCCGAATGACAGATGACGATGGTGGCACAGGCATAGATGATGTTGACTCGTCTGAGCTCGATCAATACCTCAGCGAATTTTGCGACAATAATGTTAACGATAATTAATTACGCTAGCATTTAATATAATTCAAAATAATAAATAATTACATTGAAATAATAATTATATCCTATATATATAATATTAAACTTTTAACAAGGCGCTTAAATAGAAAGCCCGCTTTTTATGTTTCATTAACTACGTAATTGAAAAAAATTCTTATCCAACAGTTGCAAAAGCTACATTGCTATTTATCTTGTTTCAGTTGTTGAGATAATTAATTAAGGTGAACCAAATTTTTTAACCTCTTCGTACTACTGCATAATCTCTCATACTTTTAATTAATGACCTAACGCTAACCTGCCTTATCTGCAAAATCACTTGAATTTTTCTTGCGAAATGCTCTTGTATTCAACTGAAATTTTACAAACAAGGTTACGCATAAATATGGATATAAGTTATATACCTCTATATATAATGATATATAAATATATATATATATATATATATATATAATAGTATAATACAATCTATATGTGAGACATAACATGTCTGCCAAGTTTTTTTTTCAATAGTTATCTCTTAGAATTTGTAAAGAGAATTGCAACAGCTGGCGGAAGTTATACTCCATTGTTGCACACGTTTTTGTTCAGAACAAATAGAATAGATTTCACTCGACAGACTTTTGCTTGCAAAATAAACGATTTATTGTGCCTTGAATTCTGCAGATTTTTACGTTCGTTCAAATTGATTTAGTTAATTTCATATAGGTAAAGATGATTATTTTATGTTTCATAGGTACAAAAATTGTCTGCATAAATTGACAGAAAATTTAATTTTAGTTAATTTTCAAATATTGATGTTTGTGAATAATTTTTACAGAAAATTCTTGGCACCATTTCTCCGGGCACTACTTTGGTACTTACGTGTAAATTTTATATTAAAATGTGTACCGTTTCAGTGCACTTTACACGCAGTTATCATAATTACATTTTTAAAATATTTTCACACAAACCTGAACAATTGTTATTTTTTTGACAAATAACATTGCTTTTCAATGTTAGGCTATCGACATTAATTAAATTGATCTTATTTTAGTAATTTAAATACAGGATAATCAATATTAAATACGTTTAAATGCAGATGTTACATGTTGCGACATGTTAGTTTCGGCTTGGAACTTTTGTCAACTTTATGTAATTCTTAATTTTATCAATGTTTAAAGTAATTTCATTCTGATCTGTAATAACTCTAATTGAAATGATATTATGGATAATTATAATTAACCAAATCAACGTCAGAGTTTAACATTATTGTTACTAAAATTAAAACAATCTTATCAAACCTTGGTTGGCGCTCAAGCCGTGCGTGCTCTTGCAATGACTATCATATGTTAATTAAGAAATTTCCTTAAGACCAATTGCATAATTACAAATTGGTGGCAAATTAGATCTGGAAAATGCTGTGAAAAAGTTTAAATGTGTTTATATTTATTAATTGAAAAAATATTCGCCAAAAGTCGAATGCGAGAATCTTTTGAAAAAATATTAATAACTAATTTTTTAAATTAAACCATATTGTTAACCATTTAAAGTACGAAAATTTATAATTGTAAATTAAATTTTACGAATGATCTGTTTTTTATTCGACCAATCTAACAACAGGTGTAGTTTTTCTATTTGAAATTCTAAATGAATATTTATCGCTTTCATCTTCGCTGCTCTGGCCTGTAGCAGCACACCGAGTAGACCTATCTGAACTTGCAAAACTATTATTATTTCCTTTTCTTCTTTTACTTCTCTTTTTAGTATCTACAACCATTTTTGGGACAGTTATTGATTTTTTGTCAATTTTTTCAAATTCTCTCACGGGGACAATCCAGCCGCTCGATTCCTGACTGTTAGTTAATGTCGTTTGAACGCTGGTGTTCATGTCTTCAGAGACTGGTTCTTCACGAAAGTCAAATGACGTTGATGCTTCTAGATGTTCGTTTTTTGCTGTCTTGTTTGCACTTTTGTGTTGATCAATGGAAGACATTTTGACGAATTGTCTTTTGGATGACTGGGCACTCCCCGAAATGGATGCAGTCGTGTTCAGTCTGCTTCTCTGCGCGTGTGCACGTTTCAGGGAGGAAAAGGTCGGCGTCAAACAATTAGCTCTGTTATCGCAATCAATAATAATCTGTCCAATAAGTATACATCAAGTTAAAACTTCTTAAATCATTGAGTGTAAATCAAAGAAATAAAATTCTTACAATTTTTTCTCTTTGAAACAAATAGAAGGCATTGCAGCATTGGACTTGGTAATAAATTATTAGAACTGCAAAAACAATGAGCAATATGCACATTGGCCAAAATATGCAGTAGAAAAAATTTGGATAGATAGAAACACTCGGAAGGACGAGTGGAGGTAGTTCGTCGGAGGGAAGTCCCTTGTAAAGTTTCACCACTTCTGATCCTGTCTGAAACAAAACTATTAATTTTAATTTACATCAAATTTATTAAAAAAATTTATTGCGAAGTGAAAAAATAATCAGGAAAACAAATGAATGTTGTAAAATTTTTACAGTATTTTGAATAGCACCAGTCCAGTTGAGCCACATTAAAACATAAAACAACGTATCATTTTCCTTGGCACAGTCGCCTGGAAGGTTCAAAATAAGTAAAATAATTTCTATGATGAGCCATTCAATGAATTAAAATATCTGTAATACGGAATTGAAACTAAATTTAAACGAATGCTAACAAAATTTTCCCGCTACAACCGACCATCGAGTAACATTATCTTTATTCACTTTGTTCAATTTTACAAAATGTACATCTTCAACTTGCGTTTGGCAGATTTGATTTTCAGAGGCGTCAATATCACATAAACTTCTGAAAATTCTTGCGTCGCTCGTTGCAGTGCAATTATAATCTAAAATTTTAAAAGTCTGTAAATTTATAATAATTTAAAATTTGAAATAAGTTATTCGATAACCTAACCTGTTTGTGTGGCATTTGATTTATCCGTGTGTGTCGAGATGTTTAATCCTCTGCTGTCATCGTCATACATGTCAGAAGATTGTCTTGATTTGTTGATATTTTTATCATAGACACCAACTGTGCTATCATTTTCTAATCTAAACTTCAAAGCCTTCGTCCAAATGATATCCACGACAGTTCTGGCCACAAAGACCGAACTTTTGTTTAGACGTCGATAAATGCAGGTATGTTCACTGAGCTGGTTCAGATGCTCTTGGAAGCAGTCATTGTCACGCCATCCAGGATTATTGATGGATTCGCTTATTATCCTTTTTAACTTTCTTGTAATTTCATTCATATCAGATTGCTACATTTTAAAAATGTTATTATTGCCGAAACAATAAAATGATTGAAAACAAAAAGTATAAATATTTACCGTTTGATTTGTTAAAGCCGTTTCAAATGTAATAACGTGACGTAGATGGTGTGACGGTCTGATGGATGCCTGGAAATGATACAGTATCAACAAACATAATACAAGCTTCTTACCAATGGTAAAATCTAACACTCACAATGACACAGTATCAACCAACATGATACAAGATCAGTCGCATCAAACTCATCAAAGGTAAAACTTAACTCACCTGTTTTGAAGTCGTGGGCTTAACATTTTCGTCATTTCCTGTTAAAATTATTTTTGTTATTAATAAAGTTTATCATCAGGTGTAAATTAAAATTATACTTAGCCAGTAGTATTCATCAACTTTTTCAGTGCTTCCTACAAATACAAATCAAATCAAAATATTAGTTAATTTATTAACATCCAAATCAAAATTGTATTCTCTACTTTATTTGGTAAAACGAACATTTGCGTAACTAACCAATAACACAAAAGGCAGAAGGACAAATATGAGTGGTCCTTGTGATGTAATAAATGACGTCATTATTTGGACACGTCAGAGCTATTACGGGGATGATCATGTGATCAATACAGGAAACGACGCCGAGTATTTTGACATGCACACAAGTCGTGTAGATAGAAGATTGATTGACAGGTGGTGGGTATTGAAAGTTGGGCGACTGACGGAAGATGGAGAGAGATCCGGTAGTGCTGCAATGATTTTCCTGCATGAAAATGAAAGTAACTAATAACTCATTCATGTCTGATGGTGGATCAAGTATAAGATTTTATAAATAAACTATTATTATCATATGTGATGACAGAGTACTAAAAAACTAAGTCACAAGTGGCTGGCCGAATTATGACGTTGCATTTTCAACCCAAATAACCAAATAACCAAAAATCAAGTAAAATTTTGTTGAAATATCATCCATTGAATCATGGAGAAAGTAAGATGAGCAATCAAACCTTGATGGGTCCCATGGCGATGAGTCCACTGGCACCTTGATATCTGAACTTGTACCATCGATTTATTGCCAACTTGTTGTCACATTTCTTTTTATCTTCCTCGGACGGATGCCTCCAATCATCATCCAGGACCGTGGCGTTTGTGCAGAGGTCCAACTCAGGTGCTGGCAAAATTGAGTTTGACTGTTAATAACGTTAATAGCTTATTCGTCGAACATCAATGTTTTGTTTCATTTACTTTCTTTGCCTCCGTCCATGGTATGTGATTTCACATTCAACAGGTAACATAAAATTTTCAATAAAATGAATAAAATTATTGAGCGTGAGTACATTTCGAAAACAAAGCCGACATTAATTCACAAGTTTATTTCATTTCTGTTTATAATTTAACTGAAAAGTTAACGTAAATGTATAATATAACAATGAACGCATGCATACAAATCACGCGCAAGGCTTGCATGAATGCCTGTGCAAACTGCATCCATATTATAATGTTCAAAGATGCAGCAGTGCATTTTTTCTACTTAGTCATACTTTTCCACCGGCTAAACAAATTAGCATAATGAATAAATAGTTTTTGAAGAAAGCTTTCATAAAAAAATTAAAAAACATTTTAAAAAAATATGTTTTGTCAACTAAATAACTCTTTTTAACATGATTATTAGGAAGTAAACATCACTCATTCGATTTTTTCCTTAAGTATATAATGAATACAAAATATTTGTACAATAAACATACTCCTATGGAATAAAAAATTATTTACCCATTGACCTTATTTAACAAAATGAAAAGCAACAAAATAATATCAATCAATTAGTTTGTAAAAAAAAGCGCTATTTCCGCGATGTTCACCAGCGCTCCTCAGTGAATTTTACAAACCGATGTGTCTTGAGATCCGCTCTGAACTTTGAAAGTGATGGAGAAGTAGTCAGAGAAGGAGTTAGAGATTTCCAGAAAAAAGGGCCAGAAAAATTAAATGCAAATTTAGCAAAAGGGTGTTTAACAGGAGTTAAGAAGAAGTGAGGATCATATGATCAACAGTATCAATAGCAGAAGAAAAGTTAAAAGCAAGAAGAAGAGTAACACTACTGTTGTCACTAAAGAAAAGGAAATAAACATTTGTTAATAAATTTTTTCAAAAATTATGCATAACTTTTCAACAAAACGGATTAAAGACTCTCCATTTCATATAAATAAATTGATTGCAAAAATTAGGCGTTAATTAATTAAATGAAGCGTAACACCTGCATAGGTTGCACACGCACAAACGCACGTGTGATTATAAACAACAGGAGATGGGTTTTTTTGGCCGCTTGTTGATCGTTTGCGAACTTTAAAAAATGAGAACTAATTAATTAAATAATAATATTATTAAAATCTGATTTTTAATTAAGAGTTTTTTTTATAATTTATTCAATGAAAAAATGGATTACGCATAATAAATAAAATTCATTTAAATTTTAAATACAAAAAAGGTTTAAAAAATTGTTGTCACTTTTAGTTTTATTTTTAAAAAATTAAAAATTAATTAATAAATTTTATTTACTTTGTCTTTTTTATTAATTTTAATTTAATTAAATATTATAATTCGATTGAATTGAGTTAATATTATTATTGTATATTTTTTAAATACATAGTACAACAACTTTTATTTTTTATGTTATTTATTTTTTGCTTCTTAAATTTATAAATTAAAATTTAATAATAGTTTAATAATTAATTAAATAATAATTTAATAATTTATTAAATACATGTACAATTGTATTATATAGCAGATATAATGTAAGATAAGATAAGGTACTATACAGCCATACACAAAGACTCAGAGGCAGTCAGTGTTTGTCTCCACACTTCAACTCAATATTTTACTTTATTTACTTTAATAATGATAATTAATTTCTAACTGATCTTTGTTGTTTTTTTTTTGTTTCAAAGTTATTAAGTAAGATAAAGAATTAAGATTAACTAATGTATAAAACTTTCACAATTAAAATTAAAAAAAAGCTCTAAACAGAAAATAACATTAAGCATGCTTTATTTTATAATATTGGTGATTTAAACAAAAGATTAATAATTAATTAACATTTACAGTTAGATTTTTTTGTTTATTTAATAATTTAATTTAACTATCAAATAGAAATAAACTGCTCATCTCTTGTTTGTAATTCAAAAACATACTTCCAAATCTGTGTTTTTGTTAAAGTATTTACAACTAATTATTTTGATGTTTGTGATGTTATTATTAAAAGATAAACTTATTCAAAATGTAAACTCATTCACTTGCAGCCAACAACATTGATGATAAATGTAACATTTGGATTCAGGCATTTAGAATCTAAAATATAAAGTAATAAAGGATTAAAATATTTTGGACTGAAATTATGAAGATGGCAGGCCAACCAGAGCAACCACAAATCAACTCAAGTTCCAAGTTAATGGATAAATTTTCCAGTTTGTCTTCATTAAAATTCAACAACTTGAAGAAAAAAACAACAGCTGAGAACTCTGATGGAATGGTGTGTGATCGAAAGATGTGTGACAAAGTTGTGAATAATTTCATGCAGAAGCAAGGCTCAGATGTGGGGAATGGTGATTCCCATCTGAATGTGGGCAACATCAGCAACAGCAGCAATGGAAACTTCAGTAGCAGCTTGTCTGTTACTGGCCACGGTGTTATGACAAGCGTCTTCAGTTTGATTCCACTCAGTGTAAACTACGCCAACAATGCTGATGACTTTGATAATGATGCAGTAAGTTTCAAGAAAACTAAAATTGAGAGTAGGCATAGTTTGAGCTCAATTTCAACGGATACTACTACATCAACTTCATCGACTTCATCAAAAAGGTCAAAGGCATCCAACAACTCAATGAAAAGTAATCATTCGGATGGCAAATCAGACCTATCCACCACAGAGGAGATGGATGTTTCCCAAATCATCAAGTACATTCCGAACAATGCATTGCATTCAAATGAATCACCTTCTGAGAAAGCGCCAAGAATTAGAAAAGAAGTGTCAGAAAGTGTTTTGTGCACTAAAAATAATGAGTTAGGCTCCAAAATAAAATCTAAAAATTTATCATCTGTTGAACTTATTTCAAAAATGAAAATGGACATATCCACAAGCTTTTTGATAGATGAGTTCTCAGAATCCTCTCAAAGTAAAACTTATGTTGAGAACATCTTGCAGGAATTGTACACTACTGAGAAGAACTATGTCAAAGATCTCAAGGACATTATTCAGGTTGTTCATTCATTCACTACTTCATCTTATTTACAGGTTTTAAGTCTTTTAAATTTAAATATCAACTGTTGTTTTTCATTGATTCTAAATTATATATTAAATGCCTATTTGTGTGAGCAATATGTTCAATAGTGAAGACGCTTGTGAAGTTATTTTCAATCTTTCTAACACCACTTTGATTTTCATATAATGACAAAAGATGTCTGCTGCTATAAAACTTGTACAATGTTCATTTATTTTTTCAACCTTTGCTTTATTTGATTCAATATATCTCATTTTGAATTAAAACATTTTTTGAATAAGAATTTTAATTTGTTTTTCTTCCTCCACTGATATGAATGCAAGTCATGAGCTTTCATTAAAATCTTTCTTCAAAGAGTGACCTAATGATGGAAATATTATTCACTAACATTGAAATGTTCGTCTGAGTTTTGTTAGGATGTCTGTGCAACATTATTCATGTTACTGTTTGTTGTATTATTTGTATTAATATTTGTATTACTCTTTGTATTATTAATCTTTCATGTTTGTCTTCAAATGAAGTCATCCATTCAAAAGGCTCGCAGCACACGCTTAGATAGTACAACAATGCACACACTCTCTTCAATGCAATATTTCAATTGATCTGTATAAGCTCTGGGTGACTCTTCAATGTTTATCTTACTGCACTTCAACTGTCTCATGATTGATTGTTGCACCCACCGATGACATTCCTGTTCATAATTTTGCTGATGTTGTCTTGTTACTGTCATTTTATGGGACAGTAAATGTTCATTTGGAACATTTTAATTAATGATATCTTATAGTGATAATCATCTGCGTTACTGCTTGTGTTTTTGTTAACAGTCCATATACCTTTTGGATTTTGAAAGTTTATTTTGAATAAATCAATTTGTTTCTATCTTTTTATTTTCTGTCCTCATTTTAAAAGCATCCAGCTATGATATTTTCCAATTGTGTAGATAAATTCTACCACTGCATGATATCTCTAAAAAGTTTTTTAAAGTTTGAAGTATACTCAAGTGTTCGTTTGTTCATGCAAATACGTTGAAACTTTTTTAAGTTATGATGAGGAAGAAGAGAAGGAGGAGGAAGAAAAAGAAGATGATGAAGTAACAACTACTAAAATGTTGATTTCACACATTAACACTGGCTCACATGTAACTTACTGCATCATTCATAAAACAAATATTCACATACGTTGTGTCTGTGTCGGTCTATGTTGTGCTGTGTGTATGTTAGCTCGAGGTGTGTGTGTATGCTTGTGTTGGCGTAAGGTGTGTGTGTGCTTGTGTGTGTATGTGTGTGTCTGATTGCTAGTGTGAGGTGTGTGTACCTGTGTATGTGTGTATTAGCGTGAAGTCGGTGTGTGTGTACGAATGTGTGTACGTGTATGTGTGTACGAATGTGTGTGTATGAGAGAGAGATAGTTTGCACTACCAGACAGGTCATGCTGTCCTTGATATTGCATTGCATACACACACACACACACACACACACACACACACACACACACACACACACACACACACACACATCTAATCTTGACTGCTGTTTACTCAGCGAGATCAAAGATTTAAAATTTTTGTAAGACGTAAAGTGCTTGCAGCCCATCTCATACATTGCAGGATTTCAAAATTGTACTCTTATCTGGCAGGCTATATTTTGAATGCAGCTGTTGCATGCTAATTTTTATTGCAGTTTCATTGAGGTTAAGTTCAACATTCGCTGCAATAAAAATGAAGTGATAAATTTGAGATAAAGGTAATTGTGAAAATTTTGATGGTTTTAATGATGATGCAAATCATGAATAAAAATAATCTAAATGATGATGATGATGATGATTATAAAGGTTAAGATGATGAGAGGGTACATTTTACAATCCTGCCAAGCATCATCAACTTGTTGCTCCAAATGTAAACTGAATTTTTTTTTGTTGAAGTTTCTTTGTTTGAAATAAATTTTTAAATAATTTATATGTAGCAATTTTCAATGGTTTTTTTTTGTTCTGTATGTTTTAATACCTTGACTGTGAGATACATTAAAATATAAAAGCATGGAAAGGATGTTAATTGTTGAAAAACTCATATGCTAGTTTTCTTCTACTTTTGATAGATTGTTTAAATAGGTGGTGGTTCTAAAGATATTGTTAGCACCTTATCAGATATTGCTCAAAATTAATTTATTAATCTTTTTTTACTGGTTTTAAACGAGAGTTGATGTTACGTAAAGTTATGAGACAAGGTTTTCAATGTTAATTTTGTCAATTTATTGAGTGAGCAATAATTGTTTGAAATCATCAAAATTGTAACCCCGTATTAAGTAAATATATGCCAAAATTGTTTCAATTTTCAAACACTAAGAGGAAAATATTTGATGCAAAGTCATTAGAAGTTTCTCTTCCTAAGTTGAACTTCATACTGCAGAATTTTTAAAATTTTATTTAAAAATTTTATTAAATTTTTTTCAACGTTTTCAATAAACGCAATAAAATATAAATCAGTAAATAATTTTGTTTTTAAAGTGTTTCCAAGAAATATGATAATTGTTGAATGTTAATCATCTACCAGATCTGATTATAAATAATTTTTGTAATAGTTAAACAGAAAATTAGACATGATGGAATTTTTGATTGTAATCAATTTGATTTTAATCCACCTTAAGTTTCAATGTATTATAATTGGTTTGGTAGTTCCAACTGAACAAAAAATGTACACAGTTTATTTAAGGTAGTTTTATGTTGTTGGAAATAACAAGCTCATGAATGTTTTTTTAATTATGTTATTTATAGTCTCGTACCTTATTAATACATGAATATTCATTCATCGTTAATTCATGAATATTCATTTAGATCAAATGGACTGTTAAGAATTTTAGATTCTTCATGGTGCATTTGATAGTGTTTGTTGTAAATAAATATACCTGCTGATATAATTACTACTTGCCAGTCACGTTTTCGCTGCTAATTTGTTACTTATTTTCTCAATTCTGCTTATTCAATTGATGACTTGACTGTTTGAAACTCTCTTAACAGTAATAATTGGCATCGTTTGCATCACTTTTTTTGTTAGTACAAAGTTATATTTTTATAAATTATATTATAACTTCAGAACAAATAATTTGAGAGCGCCTGCCCTTGCCACCATCAGTTAATACATATCTATTGTATTCATTTTTTAAAACAGACTAGAATTGATCACCACTGTTGATGTTGCAGTATCAGCGGTTGTTATAGTGATGATGGCTGATTGAATATAAGTAATGACAATGATTGCTTTGTGATGACAGTGATGACAATTTTGATAGCACTAAATTTAACCTAATGAATGATAACAGCGCCAACAATTGCACCTGCACCGTGAGTTGTAGTCATAGTGGTGAATTGATGATCAAGCTCATCATTTAAAGTCGCTTTCATTATTTGTGCCGTTTTTGTCATATTTGAAATTTTTAACTTTTGTCCTGCTTAACATATTTCCGTGTTCTGTTACCTCAAATATATTTCCTTTCCCAAGTGATCATTATTTGTTCAATCTATTCTAAGTCAATTTTTTGATCAGCCCTTTAAATATTTAGAGTTTATAGTATTCAAGTTATTTTTCAAACTTTTTTAGTGTTATTTCTATTATGCTCAATTGTACCTTCGGTTTTTGGCAAAATGGAATGACGTACATAAATTAGAATCATACACCTGACTACATCTGGTTGTTGGAGTTTTTTTTTGCATTTGAGTCAATTCACGGCTTATATGCTCCCTCGTTGCAGTGCATTCTTACTTTTAAACTAACTTTTCATCTAAATAGATTTAAATGTTAATTCATGCACTCATCAGGCAGTTGGTTGTTCACTATTTTTTTGACCATATAGGGGTATTACAATCCTCTCTTCAAGGAGATTCCCTACAACGACTTCAACGGCATCTTCGGAAACATAAAGTCCGTGCACAAGTTTAACAGGTACTTTATTTTAATCGTTTAAAATTGATAAATTTGCAATTAGTTGAAATAACTGTTTGTTTATTAAGTTTCTTTTTTGATTATTGGCCAAATATTTGAATATGTGATCAAAATTTATTGAATTTTTTTAAAGGGATATGTCTGCATACAACTCAATTTTCTTACAATAAACAACCTAACCCGAGGTTAATGCTGTGCTTTAAGAAATTATGTTTAAAAATGATAGTGTGAATAAATTTACAGTGGTCTGTTTCATTGAAGTGCTCTCTAAGTTTATATGCGTGTGTCTCTATGAACGTATAATCGAGATGTTTGTGTAAAAATGTTCAAACGGTGCGCAGAGTTTTAAATTAGCTCCAGTTAATTAGGAAACTGCAACATGATAATGCTCACACATCACTTTGCATCCTATGAACTGGGCTCGTAACAAATTTGTTCAGTTTATTTTTTGAAACTATATAAATAAATCTCAAATATATTCTCACGTATGCTTCTTATGTTTCTTTCAAGTCTTTCAAAAAGTAATCAATTAATAAAACTAGCTCTTTTTGTAACTTTATTTAAATTGATATTTGCTTAACAAAAATTCACAACTTATGACACAAAAGTTTTGTTACCATATTTCACTGGATTGAATATTGTACTGCATTTAAATTGAAGCAGGTTGTTCATTGGGACTGACTTCTTTTGTGAAAAGCGGCAACAGACGTTTGAACTGCAAACTTGTTTCTTTCAATGTTCAGTTTTGCATTTTTAATGAAAACTCTTTTAAATATTTTTGTTCAAGGAAATTTTTGAAAAATCTGAGTCAGTGCAAAGAAGATGTGGTTGAAGTTAGCAAGCTGTTCATCAGCCATGAGGAGGACTTCAAAGTTTACACTGCCTACTGCACTGACTACCCCAAGTTCGATCCTATATTTTTTTTTAATTTTTACCGTTATTTAGTTCTGCTGTTCAATGTAGTTCATTTTATCGATTCTGTTGCAGACATCAGAAATATATTTTTTAACTATGATGTTGATAATGTTGGTGGTGTGAATTATGATATTGATAATATGAGGATGACGATGATGATAAGTGATGATGGTGGTTATATTGAGGATGATAATGGTGGTAGCGATGACGATGACGACGACGATAAACTTTTGTGTTACATTTTGTTAACACTCTTCCAACTGAAGCATCTTTACAAGCACAACAACAGCATCACAGATGACTAATTCATATTTACATATATTCGTCATATTAGTTTCGCTATTTATTTATTTGTTTTGTTTATCTTTCAAAAAAACGTTCTCAAATTGCTCTCAGATTCATTTTGTTTATTTAATTTTATAATTTTATTTTATACTGTTATTCGATTTCAAACTATTCACCACAAATGCTCTTCACCAAAAATTTAATTACTTCACATCTTGAAGCCAGTGAAACACTTATCATAATTAATTTAACTGTTAATAAACTAACAACTGTTTTATAATTAATAACATTTGTTATTTTTTCAAATTGAAGCCTTTTTTATTTTGAAAATTTTTTATGACTTTGGTTCTATAATTATGTTGGTTTATTAAATCATTAATCTGCTAATATTTTTCAAGTTTAACGATGAAACTGTGTAAAAAATATTTTCAGAGCGCAACAAATCCTCCGAGACTACAGTCACTATCCAGAGTACAATTTGAAGTTATTGAGGTGCCAGCAGCATCTGAGGCACCCCCTACCTCTCTACACATACCTTTTCAAACCTGTTCAGAGGGTTCTTAAGTATCCCCTACTCTTGCAAGTTAGTGCCAGGGTTGGGTCGGTTTTATTCTCTCTATGTGTCTGTGCGTCTTTGTGACTGATCAACTGCATTTGTGTGTGTTTTTGTGTATTTTTTTATGTTGGTGATGAAAATGATGGTGTCTGTTTTCTTTATAATTTGATCATTTGAATATTTTTAAAACCCAAAAGTCGCATCAATTTTTGCATTCAACGTTTGGCGAACATTCAATGTTCGGCGAATCTAGGCCTGCAATACTAAAGCTGAAACATTTAATTACTCCCACTGCTCACCTCTATAAATATTTTTCATATATTTTCCGAAAAATCGTCCAAATTATTATTATGGATAATTAATTATCAGTCTATTGCATTCTGATTTAACTATGAAAAGTCAGTAACTGTAATTTATAGTAATAATGGATAACTAAGTTATTATTCAATTGGAGTGTTTGTTATTCTTTCACTGATGTCAATCGTGTTGTTCTATGTTCTATTTTTTTTGCGGGTATATTTGAAAGAATTCTTTGGAATCATGCGTGCAGATCGTAAACAACATTAGATTAGCAACAACTCAACCAACAACAACATCAGCAACAACTCAACAAGAACTACATCTTCATTAGCATTTACAACATGCCCTTATTTCAGTGAATTCATTAATTAGGTTCATAAAGTGCTGTCTCCTGCATATCATTACCAACATTGTATGTGAGGCGAACTGATGTTCGCTGTTCACTGACGTGTACAGTGCAATGCATATATGTATGCAAGCATGCATGCATGCAAATCAGTGTTCTTTGTGGATGCATTGTTTGTATGTCTTAATGCATTCTGTAGAGCCGACTTATGTATCAATCTGAAGGTACGAAACCATTGGGAAGATTCAACGTAACATGACATTATACAATTTTAAACTTATTCATATAATTTGTAGTTGAAATTTCTTGCTTGGTTATCATTTACTATTTTTTATCTTTTGTAGTCAGCAAGTTAGTTCAGATAACATAGGAATGCTCTGTCACGCATTGTTATTATCGCGCGCTGACCTGGTTCAAATTTTGTTTGCGCACAGCATCTAAGCGTATAGATGGCTTGCTAAACATTGAAACATGTACGCTGTATGTTGTGAATGTTACAAAGTAAGTTTATGTATAAAACGATTTGCAAACAGTTTTGTTTGTCATAGCCTCTGTGTAATGGAGAACAAAAAATTTAAACTGACATGAAAAGTTTTCTTTTCTGTCGGAAAATTTAACAAAGTTTCAACAAAAAGAAAAAAATACAGCTTCGTTTTCACTCTGAATCATTAGAATATTTTTTAAACTCACTGCTTTGTTATTAGAATACTTTTTAAATTCAGTATATTCTAAATTATTGAAAATGTCTGGCTCCCCTGCCTCACCAAGTTGGCGCCCATCAATGTTTCAACAATCTTCAATTAGTCAATCGATCAATCAATCAATCGATCAATCGATCAATCAAATAATAGATCAATATAATACATATTTCTACAACTTAGATTTATTTTCATTTCTATCATTGTCTATACATTATGATTAATCATTTGTGTAAAATATATACACATTATACATATTGCTTGGATGCTAATACTGATTATATATACTTATATAAATTTATTTATGTATAATGTTTTCGCGTCGGTGTTTGTGGTAGCTCTAGATGTGAGCGGGAAGCACTGAGTTCTATGTTATAAATTTGTTGAATGTTTCGAACGAACGTGATGCATATTTTTACACATGCCACGCACATTTGTTATTAATGTCTTCGTAATTCCGCGACGCTCTTTAGTCAGATTTCAATTTAACTTGGGGACAAATGTGTTTGTTTTCGTGTGAGACCTTTGTCTCATTGCAGTCTAGTGTTGCAGTCTAGTCTGGGTACGTGCATGTGCGCTCTCTGGTTTGTCTGGAACTAATTAAATTTATTTTATATTATAAAAATAATGCAACATTGATGGATTTAATAATCAGCGTTGGTGGTGTTCGTGTCGTTTATAATAACATTATAAATTATATAACGCCATTTTTCTTAATTAAATATTTAGCTTAATTAAATTAAGCTAAACATGCTTGTAAGCAATTTAACGCACCATATATCTGAGTAGTAATTTATTTATACCTTTTATTATTTTTTTATTTTTTAAATGTATGTGTGCTTGGGCCTGTATGTATATGTATCTGTGTGTATATGCCTGCAGTGATATTGGTCCATTGTATATCACATAATTAAACATAATAAAGAACGATATTCACCCGTTGAGGCAAAAACTGATAATGAAGTTAAACTTTTTGTCATAGTGAATGAATACTTCAATGTATCAACACTCCGCCAACAGAATCTTATCAGTCATCACGATTCAGACGCGGTGGGTTATGATGTCTTGCTGGCAGCACATGAGTGCATGCTGAGGGTGGCAGAGGACATCAATGAAGTTAAAAGGAACCAAGAGAAAGTTGAAAGGTTGATTGAAATTCAGAACTGCATAGAGGTACGTTTATAATTGTTTTTACACTTTTGATTTGTTTTTAAATTCCTGATTTTTTAAGATATATTGAATTTTATTGTGTTTTTGCCTTAAAATTTAGAACTTAGCATTGTTCGTAGATCTTAAGATTCTGTTTTTTGTAGGTGAAGAGTGAAAATGATTGGGCGAAAAGTGTGAAGAGTGTATAGTTATCCGTTAGAGAATTATGTCCGTGTATTCGGTCATTGTTGGCTGACCGATCCGATCAGTCATTGTTAAATACTTTTTTGTTTTCCTTTATGTCAGTTTTATTATCTGTTATCGTATCATTATGTATGCTTGCTGTTATAAATATTTTGATCATTTTTTTCCATACAAAGGGTGTGAACCTGCCTGATGTTCAATCGTTTGGAAAACTTCTAATGGAGGTCAGTTTTATTCTTTCATTCTTTTATTCATGCATTCGTCTTTTTCATATTTTGAATCATCACATTTAAATATCAGAGTTGTATGCCTTATCATCATATCATTGTTTTTGTTGGAATGATTATTTTCCGTGACCTGATTTAACTTCAGGTTTTGTGGCTGCATTCACTGCTTACAACTCTCAACTATTTTATTTTCATCTAGTTGTTAGATCCAGATTTTGTTATGGTTGTCTTGCTCTGTCGTTGGGTGCTTGTGCTGTCCAACTTATATCAAACTAATAATAATGGATGGTCGGTGTGATTAAAAAACTTGAGTGGCATAATTATCTTCAATTGCTTTCATTGCGAAACTTTTAAACTGCGTTTGATCAATTTTCGTTCCACTACTTATGTTGTGTGTACGTGTGTGTATGTTTCGCGTGTTTGGCTACTTTATTTGCATGATTTTGTAATCTGTGTGCAGGGCGATTTGTACATGTTGGGTCTGACGAGAGAGGAAGTACACGTGGTTTTGTTGCAGAAGGCCGCATTCATCCTTAAGAAGAAAAGGAAAGAGAACAAACTCGTCTTCAAATACTTCATTAAGGTCCGTTCTTCTTAATAACATCACGTTGTATTCTAAATGTGTTTTTCGTTCTATTGCATTGCAATAATTATGTTGTTTTTAAGTTGTGTTATTACTACAATTATGAAGGATCCTTCTGCAGGTAACTGTGAGTGGTTTCAATTGTTTTTATAATTACCGTCGTCTCAACAATTACTGTTACTTGAAAAATTATATGCTCATGCTTAACTTTCGTCTTCTATTCAGTGTGTTGAATGAAATCAATTTCTATAATGAATATTTTTTCATCAACATTGCAGTTTTCATCATTCTTCAAATGTTCCTCNGGTGTAACTACGGTTATTCACATTCTCATCTGATTTTATGACATTTGGATTATTTACATTCTACAGAGCAATGCTTTTAATTTATGTTAAAAATAATATTAAAAGGCATGAATCATTATCACCATTAACTTTGGATTATCTCAAAATTCATTTGCTACATTTATTTTCATCTCATGCAAACTTCAGCACAGGAATTTAATGCTGATCGAAACGGTTCCTCGAGAGCCACACTGCTTCAAAATCATGTCCAACCGCTCCCACAAAAACATATTCACGTTGCAGGCAAGTTTTTTTGATTCCACTTAAAAATTACTTTCACGCTTGTATGAGATTAACAGCTTTTTTTCATTAAATTTGTTGGGATAATATTTTTAATTTTTATTTTTAAATAGAACCCATAAATTATTTTACTCTAGGCTTCAAGTTTGAAGGAAAAAGATGTCTGGTGTCATGAATTTAAAAAAGTGATCCTGGATAGCATCACGGCAAACATACCTGACAAGGCGCGTAAGTTACTTCTCAAGCAGGAAAACCCTACAAAGGATGTCAGTTCCAGAGATAGGAAAGGTGAGTTAGAGTGACGGGGATGGTGTTGGTGAGTTTGATGGTGGTGGTGATACTAATGGTACTGACGCTGATTAAAAAGCTGGCATTGACGATGAAAGTGATGTTGATTAGATTGGAAGAACTCAAATGATAATTTTTATCATCGTCACTTACTGCAATTTCATCATAAAAATTACGACTTTTATTTTTTTTATCACCAGATATGCTTGGTCACAGAAGGCAGTCGGACAGCATATTAGGTTTGCCTCATCACATTAAACATTCATTTTTAACATCAAACATCTTTTACATTTTTCGACTTTTTTGACTGATAATATATGATGATTTTAGTAAACTTGTTACATAAATTTTCAGACAACACAGGCACGCCGTCCAATAAAGAAAAAGTTTGTTTGTTGTTTCATTTATTTTATTTTTCCAATTGAACGGTTTATTGCTGGTCAAATGGTAGCTTTTAGCAAGCAAATATGTAGCAAACATAGTAGAACATTAAATAATTTTTTGTATAGCTTTATAATGAAAAATATTTTTCTCAAGACTAGAAATTCTTTTGGAAATTAAATTGTCATGGTGATTCTCAATTCATGATGTCCGTTATATTTTATGAAGAAAATGTTAACTTCTACTTTTGTTTTGCGTTTACTTTTACTTTTATTAGTATTTAATATTTTTATTTTTGGAAATATTAAATGTAGAATTTTGTATTAACTTCAACCAATCAGAGACAGCCTGAGACGAGCACACCAACGAGCGACCAGTTTCTAAGATCTACCCTCAGAAGTACCGCCATGGCGCGCATCAGAGAGCGCAAGCACAGCAGACACAAAGTCAGGAAGAAAATTCTCTCCAAAAGGAGAAGCAAGAGTCTCGAGAACATCCAAAAGTCTCAGAGCGTTTTTTATGACAATCTGATTCCAGTTAATTATGACGGCATCAATGATAGCAACAATTCCATCGTTAATTTATCCGATGCCCAAAACCATTACTCCGTTGAAAGTGACAGATATAACAATAATAATAATAACAATAATAATAATAATAATAATACTCTTGAGATAATATTCGGTACCGCCAATGTTAATAATAATGCTAATACTAATAATTATAATACTACTACTAATAATAATATATGTGATAATCGTAAATATGCTAATGATCGTAATAATAGCATCAGTCATAATAATAATCATAACCACAATAATGATAACAGTGATGATGATGATGATGGTAGCAAAAAATTTAACGACTATAAAAGTGATGATGACGTAAAACGTTCGAATAACGAACGAGAAGAGAACACGAAAGAAAATGTTGTTAATAACTGCGTTGGAGGTTCAGCAGCAGCAGTTCATTCATCCTCCAGTTTGTCTCCGCAGAGGAGTGTCAGTTTCAGACGGGCCATGTTGATGGACAACAACTTCAATGTTGACCAACGAAAACCCCCGCTACTCAAGAAATCTTTATCGGCAACATTTTCATCAGAAGATGAAGATGTTTGCGCTGATGATGCTTGTGGAAAAATCGAACATGCAGATAACCAGCATAGGTTTAACAGTAAAAAAGATAATTGTAAAAATGTAATTGAAATTGACGACGTTTATTCTCCGCGCGGTCGTCAGAGTAATCAAGAAGCATCCAGCGAAACTTTACAATATATGCACGAGAACCGTGCTTCTTGCTTGGAAGAAACGGACATCAAACATTCGGCTACTTTGTCATCATCGTCATCTTCATTTAATTACATCTCAGAAGATGGAGATGAGGACTTTAATGCGAATCAATCGAAGGACAGCAACAACAGCATGTGTAGGTCTCTTGCCGAAAATGAAATCCTATCTTTTAAACAGAGGCAGAATTGTACTGTTAATAAATTTACACCGCGCCAGACATCTCTTGATTCGATTTCCAAGGACAAACTTAACGATATGAGTTTTTGCAATAGTTACGACGTAGATTGTTGTGAACGGTCCAAGTGTGAGTGCTCCATTGATGATAGTATGCAATTCAATTTGGACGATTACTACAATTCTCCAGTGGTCAAGCGTAAATCTATATTGCTGAACAAACTAATCGATGCAATCAAAAGAAGAAGTACTAATATCATGAAAACCAATTACAACTGCGATGAGAATCTCTTGAATAAAACATCGCAAAAGTCCACAACTTTAAAACGACGTTCCGCATTTTACTTTGAAAAGTTTGTTCCTCAACGTTTGCAGACCAGAAGAAAAGTTTCATTATCATCGATTGATTCATTAATGAAAGATAATAAAAGTTTGCTATCTGGCGGAAGAGCTCAGTCTTTGAGCGACAGTTCCCTGGCTGTGGTGCCTCATGTTCATGTGGATGAGGAGGGGGATGCGTTCATTATGAAGAAATCGCAGAACGATGATGCCGGGAACGCTGGAGAAAGTTGTGCCGACACAAAAATAAATTCTCGTTGCGATGACGAAGGGGATGAAAACGATCTGCAGATTGCTATCCACAATAGATGTTCGTCAACACCAGTTGCCCCATCCACAATGTTAGAAGTTCCATCTCAAAATAGAAATAGTGGTTTTACTGAACTTTTTGAATCAATTGCAAACATCTCTGACGATATTAGCAAATCGTTTGACAAGCTGAAATTAAATGACGAGGATGAAATTTGTGACGATTCATTGATTATTAATGACAAGAACGTTGGCAATTATGATCATTTTTTAAAAACGGCGCCGAATTTTGTAAATAATGATTACAAAGCTGCAAAAAATATTTATGCTAGTGACAAAAAAGGGAAACTAAGAAACAGCAAAAGTGAAAATAGTGACGTCGGTTATAGTACAATTAGAAGCTCTAAGGAATTTAACACAATACCCATTGTTTTGACGCCATCGTCACCTTGCTCCTCTTCCAAGAAATTAGATGCTCCCATTTTACAATTTCTGGAAAGCCCAAACAACACATCCAAGAGTTTTGGGATGTTCAGCAACAAAAGTTATGTTTTCAAATTAGCCAGAGCCTACAGTAACAGATTTAAACAAAACATGGGCAGCCCTTTCAAGTCCAACAGTTGCAGAAATTCCAACAAATTTTTTAATAACTACAAAAATGACCGCACTAACAGCGTGGATTTGAGTGATGATTGCAACAAACATGACAGTGACCTTG